ATGACTAGCTGCCTTCCCTCTAGTCTTACACTGCTAAATTAGGGACGGCTAGCGCAGATAGCCCTCGTGTAGCTTTGCGCAAAATTAAAAACAAACAAACAATATATTGTAGCATACAGATATTTCATATCTTACTCCCATATTGTGTATGTGTATTCCATATTTACAAAATTGTTAATTAAATTTTTCTAATTTCTGATTTTGGAACACTAAATTTGGCTGAAATCATGTATACAATTTTAGTCTGAGGAGTTTTTGTAGCTTGTACATTTAATGAACTTTGCTACCATTTCTTGGATAATTGGAATGTTTCCTTCATGATTATATGTATGGGACTGTCACATGGAACAAAGATACTTCCATATTTCAGTGCATGTTTTCTTATTAATCAGCTGTGGAGAGAGTGTGACTACAATTTTGCTGCCTTTCAAAAGTGATTCATTCTGGGCTATGAGTAGAGCATGTCACAACTTCTTGAGAGAATCAAGACTTACCAGTGAAGTTTCATCCAAGTATTAATCTTTTATCTATCCATTCTTCTGGTCATGTAAGTTATCTAACTTTCTTCAATCTTTACATTGTTTTACTTTTCTTTAACTGTATCTTTCAGCCTTGTAACATAATTGCATGTGAAATAAAAAGTGCTTAGTTATATTCATGACACTTCTTTGTTTCTTCTCTTCTGCACCTGTTCTCACATTAACATTTCATCGAGCCAAATCTTCAAACCTCTTGTTATTCAGGAGTAGTTTACCTATGCGCCACTATTCCTCTCAACGAGGAATATCTTTAAGAGATGTAAACATTATAAAATGTATGTTTGATTGTCAAGCACTGATTTTAATTGTCTATAATTTCATGTGTCTGTATAACTGTTTTGTAGAAAACAAGATCTATTTTTATTTTGATTAACACTTACTTACTATAACTTGACAGAAAATAAACTTGGGATCTCATGTTTATAGGAAATTCATTTATTAGCTTGCAGAGTTTAGTCAGAACGTGACAGATTTGCTAAGAAAAATGTTATGTTACAACTTTAAAAAGTTCACAAAAGAAAACTCACCCAACATGAGTCCAATGGTGAATGTGTTTAAACCTGAAAATCTATAAATGAAATAAAATAAAATCTAATAAATTTTGCACTTCCACTTTTAAAATAAAAATATCCATATTAACAAATATCTTAGCACTTTTAAATTTCTGTAAGTTGCTTTGAAATGGAAATACGTGTGTTTTCCAATTGTTAAATAGCAAAGGTTTATATTTTATGGCATATAATGTTGTTACAGCAGATGAATGCAAAGCTGAGGAAAATACAGGATACATTTTGAAACATTCTCCCTTCAGTTTCATGTAGTTTTTATTTTGTCACTGATCAGATCATACATAAGGGAGGAGGTAATAAAAAAGTTTTTAAATGTTCAATAGGCTCGCACTTGTTGGCTTTCAAAATCATATAACAGTTCAAAAGATCTGCAGTAATAATAAAAAATCACATGTACTTTTATCATAAAAACTTTCCCATAAATTATTAAAAGAAAATCTGGAATAGCTTGATTCCAGCCAATCAGAGTTACTTCCTGCTTTTCTGTTTATTTTCACACTATACACTCAATTTCACCAGTCTTTCGTTATCCCTGAAGAAGACAGATCTACATGTTGAAAACACTAAGGTTTCATCAGACTTATTAGAATGTTACTTATCAAACTGTTTTTGATCCTACGTGTTTTGTTTACCATCTTATGATAGGAATAGTGGATATAGCATTGTGATTAGATTTTTGATCTTAACCATACTTAGCCAACAAAATAAATGAATGAAGAAGTTTACAAATTTCACTAATAATACAAATCATTTTCACTTTACTAACTCTCTGATTAAATCAGTCATAGCTTAATACTGCAGTTTACCTTAACCTTATCTAATTCTGCTTTAAAACAAATTCACTCCAACTGCAAAATCAGGCCATAAAAATAACTTTCTTGAAGGATGGGGGGTGAATGAAACAGACAGAGAACTGTTCAACAATTTATACTTAATCTGTTACTAAGACTGCACACTATTGAAGTTTGAAGACATAGGAAACTAAATGATTTACAAAAGAAATAAAATAAAGTGCAGAAAGTTTGCCCAATAAAATCCAGAAGGAGAAAACTTAAGGTATCACAACGGAAAGCAGGTCCAGAATCTCTCTAGTCTTTCTCTCTCATATATCAACAATTCTATGATTTTACTCACATGGTGGTAATAATTTAACTGTGTTTGCAGTATCCAAACTGTTCATAGTATCCAGGCTACAGGCTTATTGATTACCAATCACATCAACACCTAGTTTGTTCAAAGAATTGTACTTTCCATAACTATTTTATTCTCTCCATCATGCATCATTGTCACAAATTAACATTAATAATAAATCACAATAATATGAACATGATTTGAAGTGATGGATTAGAGAAAAGGAGAAACATTACAATGACCAATGTCTGAGGAATCTAACTCCACTTTAAACTATTGTTTAGTTATATTCATATTCTATCAATTAATAACTAATTAACAGCTAAATATTAGTCTAGCTATAAGCAACTGTGCTCATTATCGAAAAATCACACAAGGTACAATCTGTTGTGTGCTGGGAAAACTCTAGTTCCATATTTGAAATATGAGATTGGAACTGTTTAAAAGAGGTATGCTTATAGTTAAAGATTTAAAAACAAATATTAAAAAAATTAAATACTACCTCAGAAAAACTAAACATAACTAGCCTAAATTTAATTAATTTATATATAAGTAGTGAATCTTATCAGATTACGAAAAATCAAATAAAAAACATAATATTTATTATAAGGAAAGAAACAAATTCAGTATGTGTACTTGCTTAAATGATGGACTATCATTTTTACTGAATCAGAACTGTTACACCTATTTCAACAGACTTCTTCAAGATCATGTACCTGAATGTTTAAATTCAATGTTTCTTACTTAACAGGTAACAATGGATTTACCAAAAGTAACTAGTGCTACCACATGACTAGTCAGTCTCTTTCAAATATAAGGGAGGTTCTAACCTCAAGATATCATATTACCTCCTACTGGAGGATACTGCTGTCTACTTTCTAACACAACATGCAGCATCACAGCCATAATTCCCATGAGCAGAACAGGTGTTATCTCCAGAGAATGACAAAAGAACAAAGGCAGCCAGAACAAAATCAACTTAACGACTTTCTTGAACACATGTTACGTGAAAACTGCACATACAAGAATCACAAACAAATTCGTAAAAAATACTACATTAGAATAAGAAGGTAGAAAATATTTCAAATGTTTATATATCACAGCAAGAAAAACAAATTCCAATAAAACATCAATTTAAACAAAGTTATTTTGCAAAACAATCTCATAATATTTTAGAAGTAAAAGTATATTAGATTCATATACAACTTTTTAAGTTTTAAATATGAGATCACTTTCCACCAAAACTGGTCACTTATTCCTTCAGTATCATCAAATATATAAAATTAAAACCAATGTTTAGGTTGATAATGGTTATATTGGATACAACTTACTCTATTTCTGCAATTCATATGTCAGTTGATTCTTACTTTAATATCAGTACGCAGACAAGAAATAAATTCAACTTATATAAGTACCATTAATTTAGTGCTGAATCATTTCCTGCATCTAGCACTTATAATTTTGGACAACATACCTTAGATGTAATCTTCTGATATGGGAATAATGCTCGGTCTTCTTCAACATCAATAATAAGAAAACTAGCACCTTGTTTTGTCATCTGACATGTACAGAAAAAAATAAACTAATACAAAATTTACATATTTTTTCATGCTCATATTATTTTTCAATTCTTCAAAAGAATATCTTCACATACTAATAATTGTTTTTCTGTATAGAGATCTTACTTTAAAGTACAGGTTATATCTTATTATTTTAAACTCCAAAACTACAATAAAACATACTGAAAGAGGTTTCTATTGTAGGATGGTAGTGAACGTCTTGATGCATGATGTTGTCACAACAACTTTAATAATGAGGATTATAAAGTTGGAACTGGTGGAATATGCTCCACATTAATCATACAAATGTTGGTATGTGTGATAAATAGCCACCAAACTTAATTTTAGAAGTGTTTTTTCACATATAAACAGGCAGAAAAATATTGATTCAACATAACTCTGAAATTAGTTCTCTAAAATAAAATAATCAATAAACATAAAGATATTATGCTTTTTTTTTTCTCTAAGGTGATAAATTTATTGTAACTGTTGATTTTTTTTAAATAATAAAAAATGTACGTACACAAGTATGGAACCCAGCAGACAGTAGTGATGTGTTCTCAGTAATTGGTTAGGATTTTATACACTGAAACACGGTCCTTGTCATGTTTATGTAAATGTTTTATCAAGTTGGTTAATGGTCAACAAAACTTTAATTTTCAATTTATTTATTAAATATGAAACAAACTTTGATATTTTTAAAGAATATAATGCAAACTGGAAAACAGAAGGTTTTAATGTAGTACCCAAATTATGTAACTTCATATGCTGCACGAGGAGAACAAATGTATAAATATGTTTGTAGCAGTTATGAAAGATATCTTTAAAGTTATATTTAATGTTGAACATTAAGACTGCTGAATATAGTTTACACTTCTGTGAAGTTTAGTTGTATATTCTACAGTGGAATTACATATGAAAGGTTTTATCCCAACTATGGCAAAAATAGTTTTTTAAAGGGCAAATAGGGGTTTTATAAGCTAAAATATATCTAAATACAAATATATAATTTACCTTTGACTAATAATTAATGTGAATTTCTGTACATATCTGTAAAGTTTCTGTGAAGAAATCAATTATTTTGTTGTGTGATGGCTGAAGATTTTACCATGTACGTTCTGATAAGGCTGATAATGAAATCTGAAGTATTCCCCCCACATCAAAATTCTGTTAAAACTGTTATATTTCCATGGATCTGTTTTTGAAAATTATTGTAAGATCATAAATACAGTAATAAAAGTTTTTCAGTAGTGTGTAAAGTTAAAAATATAGGTTTATCTCCAAATTTATAGGTTTTTTGGCCTATTTTGTGCAAAAATAAAGGAAATAAAGAATGAGCATGAAAATACAATTTTTATAGGCATTTAAAAGATTTTCCTGGGAGGTCTACTTTTTAAAAAATACAAAACCTATATTCTTATTTTTTGAATTAAGTTTAGATCTTAAAAAAGTACAAGAATGTGAACAAACACATCTGGAAGTTCAGAACTCTTTAAGCCTAGTGTGATGTTTTTTACTTCTAACTCTGGATTCATGAAATGTAGTATTTGAATTATACATCCCACTTCTTTACCTCTGAAGTTGCAAACCTCTGATGGGTAATTAAAATACCCTACTGAGTGGATGACATTAAATGTCTGTCATTTTATGTTTAAATCATGACTGGCAAGCTTGCTGTCATTGAAACAAAATAGAAACCCAACAGTTAATTTATTTGTAACCTTACCTGAATACTGTTGGTGTCTTGCTGTTTATAAACTAGCTGAACCTTAAAAATCACTTCTTCATCAACTTCAAGATAATAGATGTGGGAACTGATGTTGTGGATGAAATGCAAGAACTAGAAATATATGGAAACATAAATTATTACATTTAATATCTTAAAAAATTGGTATCTACTTGATGTTTACTCATTAGGCCATTTGGCCTCTGTTATCACAATACAATCAGTGATAAGTTCACTTTCATTACCCTGTGGGTTACCACAATTGTATCCAGAGCTTTAAATAATTCTCTTTTACATCAAAAGTCCACACAGGCTGGTTCAATTACTTTAGAACGCAATTGACAAGACAAATTCTTTTTCTCTATCTCTGTTGTTACAATACGAACTGTGAAACTTTTACTTTAGAAATGGCTAAACTGACAATCATGCAGTCAAACTTCACTTTTTTTCACTTCTATTTTCACTAACTTACTTTAACTTCTTCTTGACTCTGCATCTGCATGTATTTATAACATGAGACAGAAATATCTAGCCCTCTAGTGACAACAGTATTCACATAAGGAGAAAAATTTAGAAGCTTTGATTAAGATGATGTCAACAATATTACAAATGCCTAATACAACACTCAAACTGCATACACGACATACAACTTGTAATGAAACTTGTCATAACTATAGCTTTTAACACATTTATTATGAAATTTAATAATCATTACATTTTAAATCACTAAATAAACTCAATAATAACTCTTAAACCAAACAGTCTTGTATATCCAACAGAGGTGAACACAGTTGATTCACTTTGCCCTTTTTCTTTATTTGTCATAAATTCTGTAACATTTTGATTAAAAAATTAAACAAAGAAGACTTCTGTTTGACATGGACCCTTTGAAAACAAACAACAATCATGAAAAAAGGGTGCAAACTTTCTTTAAAAGGGGTCACAAAAAAGGCCTCTTCCTTCGTTTTGTCAAAAACTTCGGATGCTAAACTTTTTTTTAAACTCGGCCTTGGCTACAATATTTAAAAAAAGTAAGACATACTTTAAAATAACTAATTGTAAAATACTGAGGTTTAATGAGTTATACTTTGATATTCAATAAATTTTCATCCAAATATTAAACAAACAAATATCTATCAATAGAATGACTGATCCCCATTGACAGTTAGTTTTTTTCTGCTTTGGCATGTTTGTGTGTGGTTTATTTTTCTTTTGCACAGAAACCAAATTTTTGTATAGATATTTTTTAAATGATGACATTAAGTTTTTAACCCCAATATTAGTAGGATCCTTCCCCAATCCAATATGGTAAGTAACTTGTGAAGTTTGATTACAATATGCTGTTCAGAACTCTAGTTATGATGCTGAAAATAGATGTCTAAAGAGAAACTGATGGATAGCCAATGTAATTGTTACGCCATATTCACATTACAAAATTCAGTTCCAGTTTATACAACAATACATTGTATATAACTTGCACAGCTGCAACAAATGACTTCTTAGTTTGCTGCGACCATGGTTTTGAAAAATGATATTAGCTATCCTGAAGAACAATGTCTTGTCGGTATTGAAATTACATGAGAACCAACAAGTTGATCCAGCAAGTAGAAATAAAAAAATAGCAACTATTCAGCACATTACCCTACCACTCTTCAAACCTTTAAGTTAATTGGTGTTATATCCTTACAAAATATTCATGAAAATTGCATAAGGTCATCAACATAATAATACAAAAGAACATCAGACTGTGATAAACTCAAAGTAAACTGTAATTACAGGGAAATAGAATAAAAATGAGTAAGCTTCTAAAAACCACAGTATGAAAAGATTCAATTTTATCATTAATTAATGGAAATGAAATGGGTATGCTCTCAACTATCACACTACCGTCAAATAATGAAGAAAGGTGACAGTCTACAGACAGTGCTGAAATCAATTTTTGAACAGCTATAAAAATTGACAAAATTTTATGCTCTCACTATTATAACAAAATCTATCTTTATGTTAGATTTAGACAACACAAGAAACATGAGTATTATCAGTGGCCACTAAGTATGTGTTTTATTATATATTTTGGTAATACATTTAGTAAACAACAACAAAAAATATCACAGTACTTGTCTGATGAACTAAACGCTGTCATTGGTGATTTGCTTTTGTGGTATATATATATCTGCTTTATTAATGTAGTTATCACTAGTTAAGAAAAAACAACAACTCACTTACTGGACAGTGGTATGTTGAATACATAGCACTCAGAAATTCAGATTTCCATGGATATTGGTTCTTAGTAATAGAACCATTTTCATATTCTAGTACAAAAAGCCATTGAAGAGGATTCATCCACAAGATTGCATCTGATGATGTTTTCACCCATCTTCCAATCTAAAAAAAAATCAAGAAACCATGTAAAATGAAGAAATTGACTTTTAAACAAGGGAAAATAAAATTATCTAAAATTTCTAGCAAAAAAAGTATAATTTATCATATGCTCTTACCAAAAAGTTGCAAGCAGTAAGTAATACTTACTTGAAATAGTGTGTGGAAAAAGTACATGTGGTATTCAAAAACAATAGATATAGTAATGACCTAAAAGCTTTGGTTTAACAGATAACTTGCTATTTCATGAATGGTATATTATAAATGTTCAACCACATACTGTAGGAAGAAATTATTTGTAAGAACAATTTATTTACAAATATTTGAATTGTATTTAGCATAAACTAGAAGTGATTACATCTTGAAAAAGAAAACCTAATAATAAAAATGCAAGTAACCTTGAGTATTTGACATATCATGAAATTTGCATTTTCTATATTTGTTCATCAAATACTAAGATAATGTGGTGTTCACCCACAAGTCCTACTATTCTACAAACAATTTTTTTGGGGCATTGTATTTCATTTTCCATAAACACTTTACAATCATGCTTGTTAATTATATGTATCTGTTGTATTTCATTGCAGTAAAAGTTGACTGCCATGATATTCTATTAAATGTCAGATACTTTCATTATATAACTTATCGTTTTACATGTTTTCTATTGTATTTACTTGACTTCTTTTTTTGCTCTTGTCTACATTTAAACAAAATATTTAACATTACATTATCATTATATGTGCAGATTGCTGAATTTCTGCAATATGTAATTTATTCTTTTACATTAAATATTGCCCTGAAACTAAACGACAGAAATATTATGGTGAATTTTTAAATTCATGGCAAGAAAAGCCAGTTTTTATAATAATTTGCATTTGTTATAGTTTCTTAAAAGATATGATGATGATGGGGAGTTATCTCCCCCCCCCCCCCAAGATGAATCCTGAGAGTTGTATGTTATTTTCTATATATTATTTAACAACTGCATATGTTAGATTTACGTAGTTGTTGTGTTTACTTGCATTAATTGATAACTACAACTTCAAATATCATGTGTAAGTAACATCTGTTTAAGGCAACATGTCTTAATTATTTTATTATCAAGAAATAAGATAAGACTTCTAACCTATCAGAGAAAGTAAATATATAAAAAATTTAGTTTTCTGTGATTACTGTAGTTTTTCTTTGATGCTTTTATAATGTTTCTTGAAAAGCTAATTACAATTTCATTCTGGTTCCATATGAAATTTGGTACTTAATATATTTTGTTGATATTAATTATAACATGACTTCTTATAAAATTACAGATTTTTTTCTATGGGCACAATGGATGGTGAATGACAGGTTAAATTTAAAGAGAGTAATTTAACAATCAGTTACTTCAAAGTACACATTTTAAAAAAATTGTACAAATTTTATTTAAGCCTAGGCTGAGGTATTATACATTTGAGAAAATACATACTGCTATAATTGTGATAAGCGTTAATGACATGTAGTGATACTATTCAACCCAAGTTGAATCCCTTGTTAATTTCCATATATGTACAAGATTTTGTAACCAAATTATTTATATCTATATCCTTTTAAAACTGTTAGTCAAAGTGAATGTGATGGATTTAATGTGTCAGTAATGATGTATGTTCATTTGATTTCAAGAACTTAAAAAAGTTTCTGCAAGATATGTATATATATCTACAATTAATTTTAGAGAAACTCTCAAATGCAAACAAAAAGAGGAATCTATTGTTATGTATTTGGTTTACTGCTATATCTAGATAGTAATTGTATAACTCATGTGCAGTTCAAGGCAAAGAGCAAAAAAGAAGTGTTAGGTTTTAGCATGGTGTTTGTTTATGCTTACTAAATATATATGTTATAAAATACAGATCCATTAGGTATCCACTTGAAGGAATCATTACAAACTGACATTCGCATGAAAAAACTTTACTTGCTAATTTACAATTTAGGTCTAATTGCACCAAAACTATCTTCTGATTTCAAAAAAATACTTTAAATGAAAATATACTTCAAAACTAAAGACCTTTTTTTACATGGTCTCTATTCAAGGTTGAAATAAATGTTTGGAAAGAACAATAATATAGATTAGCGGTTGTATAATAATTCTCATATATCTTAAAAACCACTTTGTGTATTGGCATGGTTTCAGTATGTGAATAAACTCGTTCCTAAGTTACTTCCATCTACTAAAGATCAGTAAAGTGTCAGTGATCACTGCAAACTATGGTATTCCAAAGGTAAATTAAACAGACAATTATATGACCTTTGCAATATTGAGAGGTTTGTTACTTTTAGTTTTATAGTATCAGTTTGTTATATTTTCAATGCAAATGGCCTGAATGGAACTGACTCTCAACCTGTGAAGGAGGGTTTTCTGCTTGTAGGATCCTCCAGTAAACTGATTTTATCTGATACTGCTGACAGTTTTACCATAGAATCTAGGAAACCAATAGTTCCACCCAAACCATAACCATGATATTGGATCTTCACCTAGCAGGATAACTTATGAAGGCATTGTCTGCAAACTGAAGAGTACCACCACGTGAGTGCCACATATTGTGTGCTTTTCCTTTATTTTTAATAATGAAGATGTAATGAAATTCATTTAAAAAATAATAAAAGAAAATTAGTAAACTCTTTTTTCATCTGTGAGTGTTTTATCAAAAACAAACTTTAACTTTCTTGCTATTAAAGGTAGTTATATTTTTTATAAGTATTGTGAACTGGTCTTTTTTAAGTCATTTTTATATTTAATGTATAATGATATTAATTTTAGAAGGCCTTGCTATATTCAGCTTGTTGTCTTTTCATATATCTTTAATTTATGATAAAAATTTTTGTTTCTCTGTCATATGTTTACAGCATCAGTCATACTAGCTCAGTGTTCAAAGGCTCTCTTTTTTAATATGTACTTTTGTATTTTGAAACAGTACTACAGTTATCTATGTTGAATGGCATGCCTTTTGTACGATTTACTGTTAAAGGGGTTCTATTTTGTTAATGAAGGATTGCAGTCACTTTGAAAGGCATATTTTTACTAAATATTGTAATATTTCACCTGTGTTATATTTCTATATATTGAGATCCCATGTGTAAAAATGCATATAGTTTGTAAATGTTTGTCCTGTATGGTGAATTATGTTTTATTTTATTTAATGCAAGAGGGTTTTATTAGTTTTCTACTTCATGTTAATTTTATTAAGAGTTCTTAGTATATGTGTCTGCTATATTTTATAAATGAATAGTATTTAATATGATTTTATATTTTACTTTTGTGAAGGGTTACTTTAATATGCATGACTGAATGTGTACTCCAACTGTTTTGTTTCATGTTAATCACTGTTAAAGAGTTTGTAAACTATCACAAACCTTGAACACATAAATACCTTTCATAAATAAACATGACAAAAATCCCCTTTATCAAGGAAATACATTACATTTAACACTGGAACTACATATAAAACCCTTTAATATACCAATGAGAGCATACAGACACTAACAGAAAGCCTTTAACACTGAAAATAACAATATGAGCCATTTAACATAGACCATAATTAGAAGATAATGTACTGCAAAATACAAAATCAAATATCGGTACATAATACATCATTATGAATGGGGCATGTGTCTTCAGGGGCAAGAGAAAGTTAATGCACTTTTTGACCAGAGTGTGAGTTTAGAGCTTATTAGTTTTAAAGTTGAAATTAATTGTTGGCTTTACAACAAGCCTGAAGTAGGAAAAAAGTAAAAGCAGATCATATGTGAAAATCCTGAACTTTGTCAATTTACTATGCACATTTTATTATCTTTTAAACATATTCTAAATGAAATTGATATACATTTACCATATAGAAACCTCATGTTGTAATAGTGCATCTTCATTTGTTGGACATTTTTTGTAACAAAAGAAGGGAACCACTTCAATCAAAAATTAGATCATTGAAAATTAATTTTAAACTTACTTATTTTTAAACGCCTTCTTATGATACAAAATTATGGTTGTGATAATTGTAAAATATTTTGAAAAAACTGTCCTTGCACACATTGGAGAATTTTTGAAATAACTTTACAACATACAACCAGAAAATAAATATATGGACCTTGTAAGGAGTAATGCACTTCCACCTATCACAGGCAAATAGCTTTTTAAAATACTTCTGCATCTGATGTTCCTTTTGAGATTTAAAGTTAATAATGGGGCTTTGTTGATAAAGTCAACATAAAATTTATTTGTAATAATTCTTTGAACTGTAATTCTTCTTTAAAACAAATATAGGGGTGTAGCCAGCACTACAGAGTGGAGGAGTTCTTTTTTTTTTTTACGAAAAAAAAAAAATGTGATTTACATCAAAATCAAGCATTTATTTAAAAAATCAAATCAGAAGACAGAGGAACTTTTAGATATTTCAGAATACTGGGGTGGTTTTCTGACACCCCCACCTACACCCCTGACATATATATATTACTAATCAATGTTTGCTTTTATAATGTAATTTCTACAGAAGACTGAACTGCTGCTTAGAAAATAAAAAAAACAAGGCAGTTACATGAAAAATAATAAAACTAATACATAACTTTTAAAAGTAAAATGTGTAGCTTACACTAACATGTTTTAACCATACTTGAACATCAATTATTACCTCAAGGACATCCGATAACATGATGTTGCCATAAAACATCTCGTTAGAAGTCAGTAAAATGAAATTATCTCTGTTTAAAGCTGCAAGAAATGATATATAATGGAAATAAATGCATATTACCTTAATACTGCATGATTTATTATCACTATACATAGAGTAAAAATTACTTTATGATTATTATTTAGGTACACAGCTATATTGGCAACTATGGCGTGATTGGACTAATTTCCATACAAAGTCAAACGTATAATTATATACACAAGAAAGCACGACACAGACTTGTCCATCAAGACAAATTACATACGATATGCTCTATTTCTAAGAGAAACATATTATTTCATATTAATAAAAATACATCTTATGTCACTAAATATTATATAAAAAGCAATTAGCAATAACTAATGAATTAATATTAAAGTGTAACTTCATTAACTATGAAGAATTTTCTGACTCATTTAACATACATGTGACTGTTAAATTACTATAGTCAATAATTAATTACTGAAACTGAAATAAAATTAGAAGAAAAAAACTTCATATAAATATATTATAATTTTATTTTTTTTCACACAAGATAATAGAGGTGATAGATGAAATTCACTTCAGCAGAAGTTTAGTGTCACAATGTTTTTGGTAGTTTGAGTTGTTAAAAAAGTGACTTACCAAAGAGTGCCAGAGTGTTAACCCTTTAGCTCAGTTATTACTCACCTGGAGTGTGACAGGTCTCCATTTCAAACCCAAGGCAAGGAAATATATTGTGGAAAAAAATAGAAATATTAACACATTGGTGCACCAACTAGTGACTGCCCCATAACCCTGAAATTAGGCCTGAGGATAGTTTTTGCTTGTGAGGTGGGAAGAATGTAGTAATTTGAGTTATTATCATGTGACCTACTAGCAAACACTAGCTCAGTTGATAGAGCACTTGCCCACAGTAACAAGTCCTGAGTTCAAATCTGGGGTGAGGGAAAATATAATGAAAAATAGATTACCACAGTGTCTAATTGTTAAAAAAATTAAATTGACTTTAAGTAAATTTCATTTATTATCTCTTATGTAGATAGTATTTAATCATTCTAATTTATTGCTAATAATTCACGCAGAGTGAAATGTGTCTCATAGAAACACCATAAAAAATATACCAAAAAAAAAGTTCCTTTAATAATAATATTATTACACAGCTTCCTGAAGTTAACTGTGTTTAATATGCACAAGTTTCATTACACTATATTATGGTCAACATATTCAGTTTCTAAGTTAAAAGTGAAATTTTTTCAGCAAAAAGAGTGCTTGTTTTCTAAAATATATCTGGATAATATTTCCAGTTGGCTTTTTATTCTTCAGAGGCTTTTCTATAATAGGATAAAGATAACTAATGTGCAGAAGAAAAGTCTTTACTAAATGAATATTGGTGATCAGTCTCCTCATTTGAATGAAATCTATTCAATTCCGCCTTTTTTATTTTTTGCAAATTTTACATGAAATACTTTGTTTCCAGCATTTTGTGCTGTTGTGATATATAAAAATACCATATGTTTATGTACCTTATAATCTTAATATAAATTTTTCAAAATTTGTCAACAATTCAAGGTATGTGCAGTTCACATAACACATAATCAAGAAAGTTGCTAAATTTCTTTTGTTTCAGTTATCTATGATCCTCATCCTACCCTAGCGATGATGTCGGTACCCAGCAAGTGAGGTTTTGGATGTAGTTGACTTACCAAGTACAGTCTGTCACACCCTAGCCACTCTACACCATGGGACACATCCTCACTTGCCCACTTTCCATCGTGGGATTGAGTGATTCTGATTTCTGTTTAAGATCATATTGCTAAACTATCCTTTCCCACGCAGATGTGCTCCCTTTAATGTTCCGCTATGTTTGTTCCTTCGAATCATGTCGATGTTCCTGGCAAAGA